ATTTTCATCACGCTGTGACGAAAAGTGAACTTTTCGGCACGCTCCGCGTGCCTAAAAGTCCAATTTCCGCCACATTGTGATGAAAAATATTGTTCGTAACTCGTGAAAAAATGTTTTTTATCTCGTGGGATTATGTCACTCGCCTTCGGCTCGTGATATAAACCTCCCACTCGCCAAAAAACACTTTTTTGCACTCGTTACGAAATATACTATTTCATCACAAGGTCCACAAAGTATTTTATGCCTCTGGACGGAAAACCGTGATTCTAACCTCGCTTCACTCGGTTAAATCGCGGTTTTCAATCCTCGAAGCATAAAATATCGTGTGCCACACGGCAGTAATAGTATATTTCGTAACGAGTGCAAAAAAGTGTTTTTGCCGAAGGCGAGTGATATAATCCCACGAGTTAAAAAACATTTTTTCACGAGTTACGAACAATATTTTTCATCATCGGAGCGTGCCGAAAAGTTCACTTTTCGTCACAGCGTGATGAAAAAGTATTTTATGCCTCGAGGGACGGAAAACCGCGATTCTAACCGCGCTTCGCTTGGTTAAATCGCGGTTTTCAGTCCTCGAGGCATAAAATATCGTGTGCCACACGTAGTAAAAGTATTTTATGCTTCTAGGGACGGAAAACCGCGATTCTAACCTCGCTTCGCTTGGTTAAATCGCGGTTTTCAGTCCTCGAGGCATAAAATATCGTGTGCCACACGACAGTAAAAGTATTTTCTGACTCATGTGATTATAACCCTCGCCTTCGGCTCGGGTTATAACGTCACATTCGTCAGCAAATACTTTTGGACCGTNTTTCGGAGCGTGCCGAAAAGTTCACTTTTCGTCACAGCGTGATGAAAAAGTATTTTATGCCTCGAGGGACGGAAAACCGCGATTCTAACCGCGCTTCGCTTGGTTAAATCGCGGTTTTCAGTCCTCGAGGCATAAAATATCGTGTGCCACACGTAGTAAAAGTATTTTATGCTTCTAGGGACGGAAAACCGCGATTCTAACCTCGCTTCGCTTGGTTAAATCGCGGTTTTCAGTCCTCGAGGCATAAAATATCGTGTGCCACACGACAGTAAAAGTATTTTCTGACTCATGTGATTATAACCCTCGCCTTCGGCTCGGGTTATAACGTCACATTCGTCAGCAAATACTTTTGGACCGTGTGACGAATGCAATTTTTCGTCAGAAGGCCCGTAAAAAACTTTTCTGGCGAATATGAGCACGAGCCGAAGGCGAGGGCTGCAATCATATTTGTCAGAAATAGTATATTTCATCACTAGGCCGAAAAAAACTTTTCTGGCGAATATGAGTTTGCAGCCCGAGCCGAAGGCTCGGTTCGGGTTGGCTCAGTTTGGTTACTAGTGCGTAAAGCACTAGCAATACAAGTCCTATTTTTTGTGGTACCTGCAGAGTTTAGTGTTCGGAACGGTAGTGGGGGTAATATGGCTGTTTTTGTGCACGAGTAAAAGTGAATTTCGAGCTTCGCTTTACGCACTCGAAATTCACTTTACGCACGCTCTTAAACTTTGCGCACGCCGTGCAGAAAACAACCGCTTTACGCACACTAAATCGTTTCGAAAAGTGCACTTTTGAGGCAGGTATCACAAAAAAAAAATTGGGAGAGTTCTGAATTGGGGGAAGAGGGCGGGAGTTGATGACAGTGTCATTGCATAGAAGGGTCAATTGACGGTGGGAAATACTGGCTGATTCACGTCACAGTGACGGCTCCAGAAATTTTTATTTTAAGGACAAATTCTTGTGAATTGATTTTTGGCGCTTAACCTTGCGTAAGAGACGGGGTCGATAATACGGAGTTTGAAATAAGAGTGCAGCAGTGGTGGGTATGACACATGCGGTTGTTGGCCGTGCCCAAAATAAAGCAACATTCGCTCCTCGTGGCGGTGCCTTCGGGGTCTTTATCCGTTTCATTGGGTCATGATGCTCAATAATTTTTCATCATTTTTATTTCAAACATTGATATCTCCGGAGTCCCTCGTTCGATTCAATCGAGTCAAGGCTCATTCGATAGGTCGGGAAATTTCCGATTCCGTCAGGTGGTCATGAACCCTTTTGGCCCCATCCCTTCACGGAATATTCAAATGCAAATTTTTTTTTTATTGAAATCTTTTTTCGCGCTTTGTGAGAACGGCTGGGGCAAAATGGACTCATTTTTTATTCATTTCGTCGAGAATTTTCCGATCTATCGAATGGGTTCGGTTGAAGTTCGATGTGTGGGGTGGTTTTTTAGAAAATGGGGAAAAACTGGGGACGTGATGGGGACGTGACGTTTCACGTATAAACTCACCTGTAATCAGCAGTCGCAGGGTTGCACCGATTAATCAGTCCATTACATTAATCCAGCGTCGCAATTTATCTCCCAGTGTACCCGAGAGACACGCATAATGGGTAGACAGTGCAGTTCTCATCGACCCAACCCACCCCCCAGGTGCCATTGCATTTTGCCCAGTTGACTCACTCCCTCGACGTTTCCACGACCCCCCGGGGACCTGGAGAACCAAATTACATGGGTTCGGAGTGTGAAGCCGGGTTTTTTCGGGATTTCTGGGGACAGTCTTGGGGGTAAGTGCGTGATTAGGCGAGATTTGGGGTTTAGGGTGATTGGGTGGGTCTGAGGCGGTTGTTGTTGATGAAATTACGTTGGCTGTTATTGATTCAATCGGGGAATGGCCGGAGTATTTTTTCTAGATCAGATATTTTCCCCGAAAAGCACTAATTCTTGAATCATCGGTGATTTTTGACGACCTCAACGGTGCCTCGACATAACTGTCGAGTAGAATTCGACACTTGTTGCATTGAAAATGCTCAAAAAACTACTATTTGAATTTTTAAAATACAAAACTTCAGAAACTAAACAAGTTTTCATGTTTAGGTCGATTCACCAGTTTTAAACTACCACTTGAGTATGCAATTATCTCGGTAATTATTGATTCTAAGAGAAAATGTCAAAAAATGTTTTTTACATATCAGAAAATTCTCTACAAAAAATGTCTTCTGACATTTTTCCCTGAAACCACTAGTTCTTGAGATAATATCATAATTAACAAATCGACAAATTCCACTCGACTGTTATTCATAAAGTTCAGTTGAATGTAACACAACTGAAATTCATCGATTTAATAAATATCAACAGTCACTCGTTGAGATGTCTAAATACCACTAATTATTCAGTCTATTAACGTTTTTTAAGTCACTCTTTGCATCCGATTTCAATGTCATTGGGTTCGTATTGTTCGTTGGAACATTCTCTGTTGTGTTACCGTACGGCTTTTCCATTTAAATAATTTGTAGTTTTATTTCAATTGTTGTATTTTCACATGACAATAACAATCAATTTTTAAAAAAATACTCATAATTCATCATTAGTGTATTTATCCAAACGAAAATGTCCAGTGAGTCGATAGAGAATATTTCAACGAACAAATTGGGCGCGAGTGCATTTAAATCGTACGAAATGTGTGAGTTGAAGAAAGCTAGACTGAATCATCAGTGATTTTTGACGACCTCAACGGTGAATGATTCATGTTCTTTTGATGGATTATTTTCTAATAACTGTCGAGTAGAATTCGACACTTGTTGCATTGAAAATGCTCAAAAATCTACTATTTGAATTTTTAAAATACAAAACTTCAGAAACTAAACAAGCTTTCATGTTTAGGTCGATTGACCAGTTTTAAACTACCACTTGAGTATGCAATTATCTCGGTAATTATTGATCCTAAGAGAAAATGTCAGAAAATGTTTTTTACATATCAGAAAATTCTCTACAAAAAATGTCTTCTGACATTTTCCCCTGAAACCACTAGTTCTTGAGATAATATCATAATTAACAAATCGACAAATTCCACTCGACTGTTATTCATAAAGTTCAGTTGAATGTAACACAACTGAAATTCATCGATTTAATAAATATCAACAGTCACTCGTTGAGATGTCTAAATACCACTAATTATTCAGTCTATTAACGTTTTTTAAGTCACTCTTTGCATCCGATTTCAATGTCATTGGGCTCGTATTGTTCGTTGGAACATTCTCTGTTGAGTTACCGCGCGGTTTTCCCATTTATTAATTTGTAGTTTCATTTTAATTGTTGTATTATCACATGACAATGTCAATCAACTTTCAGACGTTGATGAGGAATACCCCAACGAGAAAATTGAGCCCGAGTGCATTGAAATCGTCTGTGAAACGTGTGAATTCACATTAAAAAATCCAAAAATCCCAGTGTTCCCCTCAAAACCCATCAGCTCCCCCCAATTAAAATTCTCATTAATTTTCTGTATTCCAGGGCTGAAGTATCTTCACTCAGCGAGAATCCTCCACAGGGACATCAAGCCTGGGAACCTATTAGTCAACAGCAATTGCGTTCTGAAGGTAAAAATCCCTCATCACCCACTCCTCCCATAATTTCCAACCGAGATTTTCTCCCAAGGCAGATCTTATCCATCACCCCCTATTTTTCCAATACTTCATAATTTTTTTCGGGTTGCAAGAACACCAGAATTGTATTTTCCTTTAAACAATTATTTCAATTCATTTTTCATTGTTTTGACTTCGCACAAATCACCTGCAGCCAATTAGACCTAGACTTCAAACTTTCACCCAAAAAAACCCTTTTTTTCCGAGATTTTCCGCTTCTCTTTGAGTTTCAAATTTTCAGGGGATGACGACTGTGGGATGGGTCCAATCTAGGTCATATCCGAAGGGTAAACCAAAAAGTCCTAGTAATTACTCCAATTACCGTCTGAAATATCTCGTTTCAAAGATCAACTCCGAAACAACAATTTTTCAACTTCAAGAGAAGAAAATCCCCAGTTTGTTCTGGGGGGCGGATATTTCAAAGTTGGGGTGGGGCTGCGGGCGGAATCGACCCCTCATCTCCAAGGGGACGTCTCAGGCTTCAAAATGAGAGGTCGCAACCCCCATTATCTCAATTAGGGCTTGAGATATTCCGTTCTGAACTCGAAGTGGAAAAGCTCAATTTCTTTGCAAAACGAAGACTTTTCTTTTGATTTATTTTTTTTTCGGTTTCGGGGAGTAGAATTTTTTAAAAGGGGCTTTTGATTTTTGCAGATCTGTGATTTTGGCCTGGCGAGGGTTGAGGAGCCCGACCAGAACAAACACATGACCCAGGAGGTGGTGACACAGTATTACCGTGCACCAGAGATTCTAATGGGCGCACGTCACTACACAGCTGCAGTGGACGTATGGAGTGTTGGTTGCATATTCGGTGAACTTTTGCGCAGGCGAATTCTATTCCAGGCACAGAGTCCAGTCCAGCAGGTAATGAACAATGAGAAAAAAATAACAAGTCTCTTGCTTTTAAAATTCGTCAAAAGGATCTAAATCGATTCCAATTAAATTTTTTATCATTATTTAAAATATCTTTTTCACGTCTACAGTAAATGGAAAACGTTACTAACGGGGTTTAGAATGTTCATTAATTTTTCTTTATGGGAGAAACAATTTTTTCGACAGTTTTTTATGGATTTAAATTTTATGGATTTACGTTCGTTTGATCCAATAGTTTTGGATTTGTTATTTTAATCATTTTTTGAGGTTTTATGACGAGCACAAAATATATGAATTGTCTTGAGTGTTAATTCATTTTTGTTTGTGGAAAAAACATTAAAAATTTTGTTTTCTCTGGATTTAAAGAGGATTTTTGTCTTTAAAGGATTGTAAATCAATTTATTCGATGGAAAAAAAACATTTTTAGATATTTAGGCCTTTGAATTATTGGGAATTATTGTTATGCATATTTTATAGTTTTAATTTTGTCTTATTTCAAATTTTTAACAAATACTTCCAGAAACTAATGCCAAAAAAATAAATTTTCTTCAACAATTTTTTTTACTGAAAATAATTTTTTTATTATTGAAAAAAATCATTTTAAAAAACTATGACATGAAAAAATAGAAAAAGACAATAGTGAAATGAAAATTAAAAAAGAGAGAATCTATTCGAATGCAAATTGCTAATTTATTAGCAACAATAACTCTACTAATTTATTTAAAAAATGCAATTGTCCACTTGCTTGGATTTTATTGGTCTCTCGGTATTTCAGTTGGAGTTAATAACGGAATTACTGGGGACCCCTACCCTCGAGGACATGAGGTACGCCTGCGAGGGCGCCAGGACACACATGCTGCGACGTGCACCCAAGCCATCCTCCCTGACAGCCCTCTACTCGTTGAGCAACCAGGCGACTCACGAAGCTGTACACTTACTCTGCCAGATGCTCGTGTTCGACCCCGTGAGTGATCCCCCCCCTTGATTTCGATTATCTCTGGAAAATAACTGGTTTCCAACAGTTTTTATTTTTATTCTCAACAGCTGAAAATATGGGACATTGATTAATCGACTCATTTCAGTACTTCGGGATGAAAATTTGGAGGAGAAAGAGGGAAATTTATTTTAGTTCATTTTTGGGGGTTGTTCTAGTGAGAAATGTGGTTGAAAGAAAAATGGGGTAATTGGTGGGAGCAATAGTGGCTGTTGATTGTTTATATTGTTGAGTATCTGTGATGATGAAGTCTAGTTTATCAAGCCACATTTCACACGTTTCAATGCACTCGGTGTCAATTTGTACGTTGGGACATTCTCGATCAATTCACCAGACGTTTTTGTTTGGTTAAATGCACTAATGATGAATTATGAGTATTGATTTACAAATTGATTGGTATTGTCATGTGGAAATACAACTAAAATAAAACTATGAATTAATAAATGGGAAAGACGTAGGGTAACTCAATGACATTGAAATCAGATGAAATGAGTGACTTGAAAAAACGTTAATAGACTGAATAATTAGTAGCATTTAGACCTCTCAACGAATGACTGTCGATATTTATTAAATCGACGAATTCCATTTGTATTACATTCAACTGAACTTTATGAATAACAGTCGAGTGAAATTTGTCGATTTGTTAATTATGATATTATCTCAAGAACTAGTGGTTTCAGGGGATAATGTCAAGAGATATTTTTTGTAGAGAATTTGCATCATTAATTAGTGTGTTGAAATTATCTCATGAAATTCAATAGAATCCACTTCCTCCTAAATCATCTCTCCTCTCCAATTTCATCAATAATTTCTAATTAACTTAAAGAAAATAATCCAGGAAACTTCCCAGATCTAGGCCCCAGGGTCCCCCACCCCTAACTTGACAAAATTTCCCCCAAAAAAATCGAAAAATCCAACGAAATAAAAATCCTTCTCCACTATTTCCCATTTCTCCTTGGATTTTCAATTTTCCCAGGAACTTTTCCACTTTTCACATGGAAATTGCACATAACTAGACCCTTTAATGACCCCAGACTACGAATAATTCTTCTATACAATAAATACACTAGCCAAACCGTCATTCCCCCTCTCTGCACCCGTTCTGCCCCCTCTGGATCCCCGGAAAAAAATCCTGGGGCCCCCGCCAGTCCCCCCCGCCCACAAAAACCCCTCCAATTAATCAATTACCCTCCGATTAATCAAAGAAACTGGCCATAACTATCAATACCCCCCCATTCACTCAAGTGGAGAATTTCCCTAATCACTTCCGCCCTTATATCTCGAGAACCTTGAGTTCAATTCAAATAAAATTTTCTTCATCTCAAAGCCAGCTAAATTTCCGATCATTTGCAAAAAAAATAAAGTCCCCTGGCCCCTCCCCCTCTCCAGATATTAAAATACAAAAGAAGAGATGTTTAAACATTAAAAAAAAATCACTTGTTTCCTCTCGAGAGCATTTTCCCCGTAGTGCACCAAACCCCCGGGGCAAAATGGGTTCAACATCAGACGCTGGAATCGGAAATTTCCCGATCTATCTGACGGGGTCACTTTGATCCCCAAACTGGATACACCTCCCGAGATAATAAACAGCTTTTTCTAAAAAATCCTAAAATTAAATCTTTAAAAAATCGGAATTTGAGAAATTGAATTGAATTGAAATCTATCTCCTGACATTATCTCCTGAAAACAATAGTAACTAGTGACTCAAAACTCTTTGATCGAGCTAAACAGTTGAATTATCTCTCCATCATCACATTAATTTTTTTTTTAATTCCACAGGACAAGAGAATTACAGTTGTCGATGCACTAGCTCATCCGTACCTCGACGAGGGCAGGCTGAGATATCACTCGTGCATGTGCACGTGTTGTTACACAACGAGTGCTGGCATGAGACAGTACACATCGGACTTCGAACCAGCGACATCGCATCCCTTCGATGATTTGTGGGAGAAAAAATTGACGAGTGTACAACAAGTGAAAGGTAATTAACTCACATTTTTCAATTATTCAATCACATTTTCCTCTGTATCTCCTCACCTCGATGATTTAGACGCTCCAATTCTGTCTCATTGGAAAGCCAAGGAAATTTCCGATGAAATCCACTCGTCTTGAACCCGTTTTGCCCCGGAAATAGTCCCAATAATTCAAAAAAACTAAATTTGGGGCTTTAATGGTTTTTTGTCGATATTCAAAGAATGCGCGGGGCAAAATGGGTTCAATACCAGCGGATTTCATCGGAAATTTCCTCAGCTTTAAAATGAAGTTGGATTCAGAAGTCTGGGTTTTCAGGAACTCGAGATATTGGAGAAAATGGAAATTTGAATTGATTAAGAAATCTGTGGATTTTGAATAATGGATTTTTGTTGGTTTATTTTTGCAGAGGAAATGCACAAATTCATTGCAGAGCAGTTGAACACATCACGTGTGCCACTCTGTATAAATCCTCAGTCAGCTGCATTCAAAAGTTTCGCGAGGTAAATATCCAATGAGTAAGAATTTTTCCATATTTTTATTTTTATTTGAGAGGTCTCTCTGTTGTTGGTTGAAATGAGAAGACGAAGCATCACTGAATTCATGAAATGCTTGAAGTGTTTCAAAATGAATTTGCTCTTTCTTGGTGAAGAGACTCGATTTTTAGTCTGAACAAAAATTTAAAAAATAAAGTTTTTAATGAATTTGACATTTGTCGAATGAAAAATGTGTAAAAATGTTATTTTTCATTTTTGAAATTCTCTAAAAACATCTACGGAACTCCAAAATCTCCAAAAAGGTCTTTTAGACACAATAATCTGGGGAATGAGAGAATAATTATTGAAAGTTTAGTATTTTTGCATCAGAAAATGGCTAAAAATCTCATTTTTACGCTTTTTTAAAATTCCACAACTTCTAAAATTCTTCTAAACTCAATATTTTTGGAAATAATTGAATAATTATGGAAGATTTCAAAATTAGCTTGATTAAACAGTTTTAAAAAACTAGTTAATTACACAATTACCTCGAAAATGTCTTTCGAGTGCATTGAAATCGTATGAAATGTGTGACTTGAAGAAAGCTAGACTGAATTATCGGTGATTTTTGACGACCTCAACGGTGAATAATTCATGTTCTTCTCATGGATAATTTTCTAATAACTGTCGAGTAGAATTCGGCACTTGTTGCATTGAAAATGCTCAAAAATCTAGTGTTTGAATTTTTTAAATACACAACTTCAAAAACATTAAACAAGTTTTCATGTTTAGGTCGATTGACCAGTTTTAAACTACCACTCGAGTATGCAATTATCTCGGTAATTATTGATTCTAAGAGAAAATGTCAGAAAATGTTTTTTACATATCAGAAAATTCTCTACAAAAAATGTCTTCTGACATTTTCCCCTGAAACCACTAGTTCTTGAGATAATATCATAATTAACAAATCGACAAATTCCACTCGACTGTTATTCATAAAGTTCAGTTGAAGGTAACACGACTGAAATTCATCGATTTAATAAATATCAACAGTCACTCGTTGAGATGTCTAAATACTACTAATTATTCAGTCTATTAAAGTTTTTTAAGTCACTCTTTGCATCCGATTTCAATGTCATTGGGCTCGTATTGTTCGTTGGAACATTCTCTGTTGAGTTACCGCGCGGCTTTCCCATTTATTAATTCGTAGTTTTATTTTAATTGTTGTATTTTCACATGTCTCAGCGAACAAATCGACGCCCAGTGCATTGAAATCCTGAGAAATATTTGACATGAAAAAACCAGACTGAATCATCACTTATATTTTCCACTTTTAACTCTTCAATTTCTAAAATCTTCTAACAAAATAAAAAAATAGATAATCGTCTTCTCAACTTAGCCACGCAGAGGCAGACCACAAGAACAAACCCATCAGGTTCCAGAGATAAAATAAAAAAGACCTGAAACATAATTTCTTTAATGCAAAAAAATAATCTCGCAAAAATAGAAAAAAAAATATTTTGTGTTTTTTTTTACCTTTACTTGTCCCGTGTTTCAAGTTAGAGCAAGCCGTTGCCGCCAAGCCAGCAATCTACGTGCGCCGCGTATACGTACACAATAACTACCAAACTACCCTGAATGTGACTATCTACTAGCTGCTCGGCTACCTACTATCGTCTACTACCACCTAAAGCCAAAAAAAATCTAGAAAAAGAAAGAGAAAAAAAATTAATGCGAATTTTTTTGACGATTTTGAGAGAAAAATATAATGAAAATACTAGAGTTACTCAGCAATATGTCGTCCACGCAAGCCTCGCTCGCTGAGGTACTCACTTTTAAACTTTTTTCCATTCTTTCACTGTCGTTTTATCATTTATTTAGTCATTCTTAATCAATTGTTTCATCATCTTTTGATTAATCATCTCATGTTTTTTTTCGTCATTCATCATTCATTTGTTGATCGATTTTCGTTTTATTCGATGTGGTTTTTCCAAGGGGAATCATTTTTTATTAATTAAAAAAAGAGTTTTAGATTTTTTTTATTAAAATTGTAGATTTTTTAAAAGGGTTTGTAATTTTTTTTGAGAGTTTTAATTTTTTATTTGACGTTAAATGAGGCAAAAAAATAGTTGTTATTTTTTAAGGGGTGGGGCGGGTTTGAAAATTGATAAATTGTATTTGGGGAAATTTTTTGAAATTTCTTTTGGGGTTTTAGGATTTTTTTTTTCGTTTTGAATCGATTTTTCGAGGATTTTGGATCAGTTTTGATGGGTTTGATAATTGGGAGAAATTGTTTATAATTTTCTTTGCCTTGAGAAACTGTTAACAATTGTTTACAATTTTTTTTTCGATTTTTAAAATTGTTTTTGTGGGTTTTATCGTTTGTTTGGAATTTTTTTCTCGTTTATTTAAAAGTTTTTATGCATTTTGAATAGTTTGATCATTAGGAAAATTATTTATAGTTTTTTTTGGATTCCAAATCAATTAAAAAAAAATTTTTTTTTGGTAATTGATTTTTTGATTTTTTTTTAGATTTTTAGGGGTAAAATCGATCAATATTGATTCATTTATTATTATAAACATTTAACTTACACGTAAAAATCCCTCTGTGTTGGTTGCAGCGGCGATTCGAGCCGGTCGATACGCCAAATTAATTGTTTAATTGATTAATTAATTGAAAGATTGATTAATGGACATTTTTTTAGATTCACTAGAGAGAGAGTAATTTTAATGGATTTTAATCCTGTAGATATGTGAACTATTAGAGTTATTTTTTATTAATGAGAAATTGATTGATAGTTTATTGTTAATAACGTAATCCGATCGAATTGTCGATGTAAATAATCCCAGGGGTTTATGCAGCTCGAATAATTAATTTCTCCCTTTTTTATATTTTTAAACTTTGATTCTCGATATCTCGCGAACCAATTGAGGCAGACCAATAAGTCTTCACTCAAATCAAAGATAATTTCGTATTCTTCAGAATGAGCTTTGGCTCATTCGAATCCAATAATTGGTTCCTGAGATAATTGCAATTGAATTTCAAACGATCGATTTTCGCATAAAAATTAAGTTTGTGATTTTTTTTATTCAAATTTAAATATCTTAGGAGCTAATGAAGCTAGAATGACCAGTCTCTATTCAAATTAAAGGGAATTCCATAGTCTTCAGAATCGATTTGGATTCATCAAAATTAAGGGATTAGTCTTTCAAATAATTGTAATTGAATCTAAAGTCGTCGATTTTGGTAAAATCGAATTCCATTATTTCAATTTCTTCAAACTTGAATATCTCAGGAACTAACGAAGATAAATCATCGAGTCTCCGCTCAAATCAAAGCGTATTCGTTACTCTTGAGAATGAAATTTGATTCATCCAAATCCGTCAATTTCCCCCCGAGAAAACGCCAATTATATCTGAATTAATTATTTCGAAAAATCCTTCAAAACGTCAGAAACCAGTGGAAAAAAATCATCTGAGCCTCCGACAAAGCTGCATAAACCTCCACCCTTAGTGTCACCCCTGTAAATACCCCTCCCCTCACAACCATCTCTCACCCCCCCGGCCCAACCCCAAAAAAACCTTCTAACAAAATCCTTTAAATAAATTTTTCCAGCTCAACAGTGGCGCATCCCTCGGAATTACCGCCCTCACCGCACCAGTGGGAGTGATCCCACGCACCCGCACCTCCAACAATCATCTTTAAAACCACAAAAAAAAAATAATTAAAAACGAGCCAAGAGAGACAATAGACTGCCGAGCACTTGTAGACTCGAATTTTTTTTTCTCAAAAAAAAAAGAAAAAAAATTCTCAATCTTTAGTTTTAAATGCGAGAAAAGAATCTAGATGATTTCACGAACAGGATTATTTCTCATTCATGTACATAGACGATTATTATAGAGGATAACGAGACTGCGGGGGGGGGGTAGCTTAATTACCGAGAGCAATTAGTACACCTCGTGGAGAATTTCAGAAAAGAGAAGAGAGAACTTTTTAGAAAGAGATGATTATCTCGGGAGGTGTCCCGAGTTTGGGGGTCAAAGTGACCCCGTCAGATAGATCGGGAAATTTCCGATTCCAGCGTCTGGTGCTGAACCCATTTTGCCCCGGGGGTTTGGTGCACTACGGGGAAAATGCTCTCGAGAGGAAACAAGTGATTTTTTTTTAATGTTTAAACATCTCTTCTTTTGTATTTTAATATCTGGAGAGGGGGAGGGGCCAGGGGACTTTATTTTTTTTGCAAATGATCGGAAATTTAGCTGGCTTTGAGATGAAGAAAATTTTATTTGAATTGAACTCAAGGTTCTCGAGATATAAGGGCGGAAGTGATTAGGGAAATTCTCCACTTGAGTGAATGGGGGGGTATTGATAGTTATGGCCAGTTTCTTTGATTAATCGGAGGGTAATTGATTAATTGGAGGGGTTTTTGTGGGCGGGGGGGACTGGCGGGGGCCCCAGGATTTTTTTCCCGGGGATCCAGAGGGGGCAGAACGGGTGCAGAGAGGGGGAATGACGGTTTGGCTAGTGTATTTATTGTATAGAAGAATTATTCGTAGTCTGGGGTCATTAAAGGGTCTAGTTATGTGCAATTTCCATGTGAAAAGTGGAAAAGGTCCTGGGAAAATTGAAAATCCAAGGAGAAATGGGAAATAGTGGAGAATAATTTTTATTTCGTTGGTTTTTTCGATTTTTCTGGGGGAAATTTTGTCGAGTTAAGGGTGGGGGGACCCAGGGGCCTAGATCTGGGAAGTTTCCTGGATTATTTTCTTTAAGTTAATTAGAAATTATTGATGAAATTGGAGAGGAGAGATGATTTAGGAGGAAGTGGATTCTATTGAATTTCATGAGATAATTTCAAAACACTAATTAATTATGCTAATTCTCTACAAAAAATATCTCTTGACATTTTTCCCTGAAACCACTAGTTCTTGAGATAACATCATAATTAACAAATCGACAAATTCCACTCGACTGTTATTCATAAAGTTCAGTTGAATGTAATACAAATGGAATTCGTCGATTTAATAAATGTCAACAGTCCCTCGTTGAGAGGTCTAAATACTACTAATTATTCTGTCTGTTAAAGTTGTTTCAAGTCACTCTTTTCATCTGATTTCAATGTCATTGGGCTCATACTGTTCGTTGGAACATTCTCTCTCGAGGTGCCCTACGTCTTTCCCATTTATTAATTCATAGTTTCATTTTAATTGTTGTATTTTCACATGACAGTACCAATCAACTTTTAAATAAATCGTCATAAGACATCGTTAGTGTATTTATCCAAACAATAACGCCTGACGAGTTAATAGAGAATGCTTCAATGAACAAAATGAGGCAGAGTGCAGTGAAATCGTGCGAAATGTGTGACTCGAAAAAACTAGACTGAATTGTCAGTGACTATCGAATCATAAAAATCGAAATAATGAATATGAAATCGTAAAAAAATCCTGCTCTATTCGTTTTTGTTCCACCACTTCACTCCTAAATCAATCACGTGTTCTATATGTTGCACTCGAGCACATCGACGAGGAAAACCCAGATTTTCTCAACGAATTTTCCCCTCCGGGAACACGATTCAGGGGAGTTCATGACTCGAGCAGCTAGCTTAAGGAATTTTTAGCATTTTTTCCTTTTCTCTTAGTTTTTTTTTCCTCGGAAAAACAAAGCTGGAAAGGAATTCCAGGTATTTTTAATTAATTGCGACGGGTATCTGTCCGGAATTTACCTTCCTTGTGTCATCATTCGTTCTGTCATATGTAAATAATCATTGCACGTGTGTAAATAGTTTTTATCGGGGAGAATTTTTATTTTCGTTTTTGATTGAGTTTTGAGGGGAAGGGTGTGGAGAGCGGGGAATCGATGATGATCGGAAAATTCGTGCGAAATATTCCGCTGTTCAATGTGCATTTTTATTTTTGGAAATCGGTTGAGAAGTTTTCGAGAAAAACTGGAGAAACTGAACTCAAATCGTAAATTCAACAAAAAATTGAACGCAAAATTCATCAAATCGATTGCATATTTACCCCTGTTACTATCGCAAAAAAATCATTGAGAATATACGTTTCATCGGAAATTTTCCGCTCTTCAAAATGAACTTTGATTTTTGAAAATCAGTCAAGAAGTTTTCGAGAAAAACTAAAAAAACTGAACTCAAGTCATAAACTTTCGAAAAAAAAAACTAAACGAAAAACTCATCAAGGCCAATTTTAATTTACCCTAATTATCATTTTAAAAAATCATTTAGTTCAGCTCTTAGAACTGAACTTTGATTTTTGAAAATCGGTCGTCAATTTCCCGAGATGTCCCCAGAAACTGAAAAAAAAAACTAATCAAAAATCGGACCAAAAATTCTCTCAAAACCGTAACAATTCATAAAATTCCTTCGTCACCCGTTCGTAATCACCCCTATGTGATTACGAAAACTGTAAATAATCTAAATGCAGCCAGTAAGCCACAAAAAATTGGGAATGCATAAACAAATCATAAAAAAGTCCCCAAAAACGAAGAAAAAAAATTGCGATTGTAGCCGTTCCTGCCAATAGACCCAGCAGATCGCTGCCGATTACTCTGTAATTACCCACAGACTAATCACGAATGAAATCATTGAGTCGGTGAGAATTTTCTCACAATGAAAAACCAGGAAGAAACGATTGTGTAATTAAACGAGAACTAAATAAATAAAAAAAACTTAGGATAGAATTTATTTCCATTAGTGGCTTTGTACTTTCAATTTTGTCATTTTTCCTACTTAGGTGACAAAATAATCATTAGAATTGTGTAATTAAACATTGAGAATTGTCTCTCCGTTGATTCAAAAGAAAAGCTAAAAAATATCGATTTTGCGTGATTTTTGGAATTTTTCGTGAAAAAAAAATCGATAGGGGGTCAATAATGACCCCGTTCGACAGATCGGGAAATTTCCGTCGGGATTAAAAAAAAGACGACCCATTTTGGCCCCGTGGTTTAGGAGCTATGACCGAAACAAGATTTTGCCTGATTTTTCTCCTGGTCCCATTTTTGGGCCCTATACTCGGATTTCATGGGCCCTTGCTTCATTAGTCTCAGTTCGTGACATAAATTTACGGAATGAGGGCCAGGGAGGGGAATATCGGTGTCTGTGAGATCACTTTTGCGGCCGTAAAAGATCGTAAAAAGGGTCTTATGGCCCAAAAACTTGCTTTATGCGTGAGTGTAGAAAGGGTACATTCAAGGATTGAGGACAGGGGTGGGGTGGAATTCAAGTTCGTATAATGAAATTTGCGGCCTAGGAAATTTATGTAAAAGGGTCCTAAGGCCCAAGAATTATCCGTGAGATAGTATTCTCCAGATGGATGTGGAAAGCGCACGTTCAGGGCTGAGAACAAGGGAAGGGTATAATCCAAGTCTGTAAGTTTATATTACAGTCTAGGCCGTAAAAAGGGTCCTAAGGCCCAAAAAATATCTACAAGATAGTATTCTACACAGACGTGGAAAAAAAATAACTTGACGGACTGAGGACAGGAGTGGGGTGGAATGCAAATTCGTAAGATGAAGCTTACGGCCTAGGCCGTAAACGAGGGTCCTAAGACCCAAAAAATCTACAAGATAGTATTCTATAGAGGGATATGAAAAAAATTAACTCGACGGACTGAGGGCGGGGATGGGATGTCATTCAAATATATAAGATGAAGTTTATAGTCTAGACCGTAAAAAGGGCCCCAAGGCCCAAAATCCATCCTCAAGATACTATTTTACAGATGGATGTGGGAGGAATGAATTTGACGGGATGAAGATATAAACGGGGGGCAGTCCGACGTCGTGAAGGAAATTTCACAATCTGGGCCGTAAAAAGACGAGGTTAAGACCCAAAACCAGGCCGTAAAATTCTATTTTACGGATTTGAATTTTTTTTTTCATATTATGAGAGAACCACAGGCGCAAAATGGGTCGATTTTTTTTGCTTGATGGGGAATTGAGCTAAAGCATAAAATGAGTTTATACTCCACATCATAACTTCTTCAGCTATTAAAAATCACGAAAAATCGATCGATAATCAATACAATTCCAGAGATAATGACAATTTGCCTTGATTATGGAATGTGGAGCACTGATCCCACCCCCAGAAATTCCAAATCCTATGAAAAACCCCAGAAAATCCCCGGAGATGTATAAAAATCATGGAATAGAAATTAATGGATAAAAGAGTTGATTAATGGATCGAGTAAATTGAGCGCGTAATTAGGAGTATTAATTGGTTAATTAATTACTCAACACAAATCGATAGTTATTGATGATTGATTGAGGCTTGTCACTAAATTATTCAAAACGAAAAATTCATAACCGATGATTATCGATCGATAATTGCAAATTATCGATTAATGATCATTAATTAAGCAATTTATCAATCAATGAAATTCATTAACCAATCAATATCTTGGGAATAGAAATGACCCTCTAAAATTGGGGAGCAATGGGGTACCCTACAAAATCCAAGAGAGAAAGACAGAAAATAATAATGAAAAATCGTAAAATTGATAAAAGAATTAATTAATTAATTAAGGGGAAAAAAATAATTCAAAACAAATGATGTCGCTTCCTGAGTAGTGAAAAGAAAAATTCGTAGAAATTTTTGCCAGTGGATAATTAATAATTAAGAGTAAACAGTGTGATGACCTGTCGTTAGTAACTAAGAGGCCTTAATTATCACATTTTAATTAATGAATAATGAAAACAAAATAATTGAACTAAATGGTGACAAAAAAAAGTAGTAAAACACAAAAAATACAAAATGTAGTGAAGAGTTGATCGGGGGAGAGCAATGGCGATCGATGAGGTATAGATATGTACATTGTAAGATATATGAGGGTGATAAACATTCATGTAAATAAATCTTTGCACTTGAACACAAGGAATAATGAATTAATTGAGGAATTTTTAATTAAGCCACAAGTGATTATTTCCTCCATCACTGCCAGTACCAGAAGTGACTGGAATTATTTCCGAATTTTTTCTGTAGTTAATTAATTACATGAGCGAGGAGAATGGGATTTTTTTAGATTTTAATCGATTTCTCAATTTTCATATTTTTATTCGATTATTCAAAATTCGCAAAGATCGATGAAAAAATCGATTTTCCAAATTTGTTCTCCAAAAGCTGATAAAATCTATTTTTTTCGAGGAATCGAATGAATTTCATTGTTTTGATCTGCATCGAGTAATCGAATAAAATCGATTCTTTCGATCTTTTTCGAGAAATCGAATGAAAATTGATTTTTTTTTAGAAGAATTTTTTTCAATTCGTTTGAAAACTTAACAAAATTGATTCCCATCAATCGATAAAAAATAACAGAAATCGATTGATTGAAAAATCGATTCAAATCGATAAAAATCGAAATCACAGACAACCTGCAACCGAAAAAATCGCCGCAGCTTCTC